CACATCATCCACTATAAATAGCATTCCATGCTACCCTTTAATTAACTGTCCATCTGACTTAGAGTTTCTCTGTGAAATAACTGTTCTGTTTTTAAGAGGTCTTTCTTTCATGTTCCCCTAGATTGCATCTAAGATGTTAGAATACACAAAGATTGCAGTATCAACAAAGAGCTTAATTAAGCAGAATATGCAATGACAGCAAATATGTAAAAAGCAATCTTTACTAAAGACAGGTAACAATTCAAATAAGCCTTTTACAGATAGTAAGGAGCTGAAGGTGGATAGCTAGTCAAAATCCAATTTTCTAAGTATACTGTTACTTAGAGAATTCTTACTGAATTATCTGCCTGAAACAATAGTGAGATCATCTGAGATTTCCTGAGCTTATATTCCAAATAGTGGTAGCTAGATTATACACCCTGATTTTTTTTTTTTTTTCAGATTTTTATTTATTTGAAGGTTAAAGTTACACAGAGAAGGAGAGGTAAAGGGAGAGGTTTTCCATCTGCTGGTTCACTCCCCAATTGGCTCCAAGGAGCTGCGCCAATCTGAAGCCAGGAGCTTCTTCCACGTCTCCCATGTGGGTGCAGGGGCCCAAGTACTTGGGCCATCTTCTACTGCTTTCCCAGGCCATAGCAGAGAGCTGGAATGGAAGTGGAGCAGCTGGGACTTGAAGTGGCACCCATATGGGATGCTGGTACTTCAGGGGGCAGCTTTACCCACTACGCCAGAGTGCTGGCCCCTCATCCTGGTTTTTTAAAGTAATTTTTAAAAGATTTATTTATTTGAAAGGCAGAGTTCAGGTTATTTGTCTACTGGTTCACTCCCCAAATGGTTGCCATGGCCAGGGCTGGGCCAAGCTGAAACCAGGAGTTTCATTTGGGTCTCCATCATGGGTGCAGGAGCCCAAGCGCTTGTGCCATCTGCTGCTGCTTTCCTAGGTGCATTAACAGGGAGCTGGATCAGAAGTGGAGCAGCCAGGACTCAAAATGATGCCCATATGGGATACCCACACAGCAGGTGGTGGCTTAACCTGTTCCACAGCACTGGCCCCTTAAATAACTCTTTAAATGATTTGATTAAGGGGGGGGGGGGATCCCAACCCTGCTCTAATATAGATTGAAGAGGCCACTAATACTTTCACAATCCTGTCTTCTCCCTTTGAATCAAGTTCTACATTTCTTGGACCAACTGAATATGGCAGCAATGATTCCCAGAATGAGTCTGGCAGTTTCCACTTCCTGTCCTTTTGAAACATGGCTGTTATGATGAGATGATGCCCTGGTAGTCCTAGAGACTTGGTAAACAGGAACGAAGGCTCCCAGCTGACAACCAGTCCTGACTTCGCCAGCCATCAACTCCTATGGTCAGAGTTGATGCTGCATGGAGTAGAGATGAGCTGTCTCACTACCTTTTCCAAACTGCAGGTTCAAGGGCAAAATAAACCATCATTGCAACACACCTCAAACTTTAATCCACCATATTTAAAAGACATAATTAATTAAGGGGGGCAGTGAAGGAAGTAATATTTTTTGAGACTTTGATATGACTAATGCTTTATACATCCCTACCCCTTAGAACATCTTTATTAGGTAGTATTACTCTCTGTATTTTACACATGAGGGTTATAACTCACAAATTAAGTAACGGTCCAGGGCCATATAATAGGACAGTTTTCAACACCAGTTTGGCTCCAAGGCACAGGAAAATACTACTGAAAATGGAAATAGCAGGAAAATGGCAACGAAGAAGGAGATTTCAAGTTAAACTGAAGTAACTCAACTTTTCACCGACACAGTTTGCACTAGGGAGACATGACATCATTTGACAGGTGTGTTCTGGGAGTGCCCCCGACATTGCTCGGTATAATTTCCCAAGTGGTAATAAAATATGCTTTGGTACATAGTATTCAGATAGCAGCAATATTTTTTTAATACTTAAGAAGCACCATAAAAGTTTAAGTGCTCCATACTAAAAGCATATTGCAAAGATAAAGACAAGACTCTTCTTCTAAAGGGTCTTGCACTTTAGTAGGAGAAATAAGGTATGTTATCACAGAGTTGTTTCACAAGGTACCGATTATCGTAAGTGAGGGATAAAGTGCTATAGGAATGTATTCGTTCATTCAGTGAATATTTATTGAGTGCTAATGCAGTTGTGAACAAAATAGGCATGTGTGGTTCCTGTTCTGAGAGAGCTAAAAATCACATTGCTATGCTGGAGACACCAGAAAAAGAGGATATATTTTAGCTTGGTCTTGAACTATGACTTGACTTTGGCTATGAGGAAGGCAAGGGATTAGGATGCCATTTCAGGCACATAAGTTAAAGAGCAGAAAAATGCAAAAACACTAAAGCATGAAAAAGTTAGGCCATGGGGACCCTCATTGTGGCTCAGCAGGCTAAGCTGCCATGTGCAGTGCTGGCACACCATATGGGCTCCAGTTCATTTCCTGGCTGTTCCACTTCCTAGCCAATTCCTGCTACTGTGCCTGGGAAAACAACAGAAGAAAGCCCAAGTGGCTGGGCCTGAGCCTCTGGACCCATGTGGGAGACCTGGAAGAAGCTCCTCGCTTCAGTCTGGCCCAGCCCCAGGTGTGGCCATCTGGAAGTGAACCAGTGGAAGGAAGATCTCTCTTCCCCTCTAACTCTGCCATTCAAATAAAATAAAGTTAAATATTGGCTGGCGCTGTGGCTCAATAGGCTAATCCTCCACCTGCAGTGCCGGCACACTGGGTTCTAGTCCCGGTCAGGGCACTGGATTCTGTCCTGGTTACTCCTCTTCCAGGCCAGCTCTCTGCTGTGGCCCGGGAGTGCAGTGGATGGCCCAGGTCCTTGAGCCCTGCACCCCATGGGAGACCAGGAGAAGCACCTGGCTCCTGCCTTTGGATCAGCGCAGTGTGCTGGCCGCAGTGCGCCGGCTGTGGTGGCCGTTGGGTGAACCAATGGCAAAGGAAGACCTTTCTCTCTCTCACTGTCCACTCTGCCTGTAAAATATATATATATATATATATATATATGGCTATACATAGGAACTTTAAAGCAAGGGTTCTGTTTTGTTGGCTATAAGATCCCAATTTTAAATTGGACCATTTTGTGTACCAAAAGAAAGTATATAGAACATGCAGAGCAGGGGGTCTCACCTTGGGCAGTTTTATCCTCCAGTGCACACTAGGCAAGGTCTGTAAACATTTCATTTTTCTAGAAGTCTGTGCTCTGTCAATTGAACATTTGAGTAATAGAACACAAGTTGCTTGCTGAATACCCTACATAAGCCTATGACTAAAGTTTGAGAGCCACTTAAAACAGTGCATATACTTTTGATAAAAACTCACTGCTAAGAATACACAAATTATTATGGCCACAAGTTGCTTTTATGTTTGAAAATATCTTGAGTACCAGCAAGTACATCAAAGAGTAGAATTTTTATTTTATGTTAATTAAAAAACTTTATTAACATGAAATACTTGTATACATTTATGGGGCACACTGCAATACTCTGACAGATGCATACAGTGTGCACTGGTCAAATCAGGCAACCAGTACCACCACCTTGCCACCCTTCCCCTGGGTTTGGCACCCACAAGCCCCCCTCCTCCATTTTATCATATTGTATGTATTACAGCATTGTGATCTGCCACTGCCCCACTGCCTGTAACATTAGAACCTATTACTTCCACTTAACTGTGTTTTGGTACTTTCTAGCTCCTATCTCCTCTTCCCCCACCAACTCCCGGTATTAAGTAACTATTTTAAGTTCAAGCAGGCTTTATTTAAGTTTCATATATGAATAAGAACATACAGTATTTGTTTCTGTGTCAAGTTTATTTCTCTTAACATAATGACTGCCAGTTTCATCCATTTTGCTGTAGATGTCAAGATTCCATTTTTTTTATGGCTAAATACTATTCTGTGTTACACACACACACACACATTTACCCATTCTATCAACTGGCACCTTGGATCTTTCCATATATCAGCTGTTATGATAGTGCTGCCATGAACACGACAGGCACAAGTATCACATTCTAATCTTATTTCCTTCAGATACATACCCAGAGGTAGGATAGCTGGGTACATGCATGTTTAGTTTTTAAGGTTCTCTAATTTGTATTGGCAACTATTACACTAATTTGTATTGCCAACAACAACAATAGTGTTTCCTCCACAACCTTGTTAATATATATATATTATTATGAGATATATATATATATATATATATATAGGCAGATTTAGAGAGAAGGTCTTCCTTCCGTTGGTTCACCCCCAAATGACTGCAACAGCCAGCGGGCTGCGCCGATCCGAAGCCAGGAGCCAGGTGCTTCCTCTTGGTCTCCCATGCAGGTGCAGGGCCCAAGCACTTAGGCCATCCTCCACTGCCTTCCCAGGCTACAGCAGAGAGCTGGACTAGAAGAGGAGCAACCGGGACTAGAACCCAGAGTACTATCGCCGCAGGCAGAGGATTAGCCTAGTGTGCTGTGGCGCTGGCTGTGTGTGTGTGTATATATATAAATAAAAAGATTTTAGTCATTTGAAAGGCAGACTGACAGAGACAGAAAGCGACTTTCCATCTATTGGTTCACTCTCCCAAATGGATGCAATAGCTGTGGCTGGGCCAGGTGGAAGCCAGGAGTCAAGAACTTCATCCTGGTCTCCCATGTGGGTTGCAGGGGCCCACATACTTGGGCCATTTTCTTCTGCCTTCTCAAGAGCATTAGCAGGGAACTGGATCAGTTGCAGAGCAGCTAGGATTCCAACTGACACTCTGAAATGAGATACTGGCATTACAAGTGGTGGATTAACTTGCTGTGCCACAATGCCAGCCTCTATTTTTTCTTTTTGATGAGACATTCTCTCTAGAGTGAGATGATTGCTCATGGTGGTTCTGACTTGCATTTCCTTGATAGTAAGTGATGCTGTAAACTTTTTCAGTTGTTTGTAAGCCATTTGTATTTCTTTTGAGAAATGTCTGTTCATGGCTTTGCCCAGTTCTTAACTGGATTTTTTTTTTTTTTCGTGGTGAGTTTTTTTTAATCCCTTATATAATCTACATATTGGGGCTGGCGCTGTGGCACAGCAGGTTTAACACCCTGGCCTGAAGCACCAGGATCCCATACGGGCACCGGTTCTAGTCCCAGCTGCTCCTCTTCCAATCCAGCTCTCTGCTGTGGCCTGGGAAAGCAGTAGAAGTTGGCCCAAGTCCTTGGCCCCTGCATCCGCGTGGGAGACCCGGAAGAAGTCCCAGCTCCTGGCTTCGGATCTGCACAGCTCTGGCCTTGGCGGCCATTTGGGGAGTGAACCACCGGATGGAAGACCTCTCTCTCTTTCTGCACCTCTCCTCTCTCTGTGTAACTCTTTGAAGTAAAATCTTTTAAAAAATATATAATCTAGATATTAATCCTTTGTCAGATACATAGTTTGCAAATATTTTCTCCCATTCTGTATATTCACTCTTCCCTCTGTTTCTTTGTTGCACTGAAGCTTGAGATAATCCCATTTGCTTTTGCTGCCTGTGCTTTTGAGGTCTTTAAAAAAATAAAAAAACATTGCCTATGCTGATGTTTCAAAGCATTTTCCCTGTATTTTCTACTAGCAGTTTCATAGTTTTAGGGCTCACATTTAGTCTTTTGAGTTAATTCTAACATTTGTACAGGATGACAGGTAGGCGGGGGTCTATTTTCATTCTACCTATGAATATCTAGTTTTCCCAGCACCATTAGTGAAGAGGGAGTCTTTTGTCTAGTGTCTGTTTTGACCACAGTGAAGGACTGGTTCACTGTAGATACTTGGATTCTATACTAGGATCTGTATCCCACTGCTTTAAATTTGTTTTTGTACTAGTACCACACTGTTTTGATAACTCTACTTCTATAGTATATCTTGGAATTGGGTATTGTGATACCTCCAATTTTGTTCTTTCTGCTCAATATTGCTTTGGCAATTTGGGGACTTTGTTTACAGAAATAAGTCTTCAAATTTATATGAAATCACCAATGTCCTTGGTATTTTTATGGGGACTGCACATGAGATGTACATGCAATGTGAAGTCTTTATAATTTCACTAAGTTGTACTGGCCTCACTTTTACATGCAGCTAAAGAAAGTGACAATAGGCTAAGGACAGCAGAACATTGTGAATGCTGTACCTTCGCAATTATCACCAATTAAATGACTGTTAGCTAGTAAGTCTTAATTTATATATTAAAGAAACTATATAGAGAATACTACAGAAACACAGTGAAAAGACTGAAGTTTGTTCATTTCTGTGCAGGAAGTCCCTTCACATCCAAGCTTCATTGTATGCTGTACTTCTGACTTCAAAATTTACTTCTGTTATCACTGCATCTCCTCTTTTTTATCTTCTTTTTGGTCCCCAGTGCCAGAGCTTCCAGAGCCTTCTCACTTGGATGCTATCTTTTTGTATACCATTTTGGAGAGCTTTAATGATGTCTACTGAAGGGAAGATGCAATGCTGCCTGTTTTCTCCTGTTTTACTGTCTTTTTCAAGTGAGGAGTTCCCTCATTTTAGGAATCTCTTCTTTTAGCTTGTTGCATTCATCAGCAATCTTGGTTTCTGTGTCCTCAGTGATTCTTTCAGCCATATTAATTGCTTCAACCTGTTCCTTCTTTCGCTGGTCTTCCTCACAATACATCTGCATTTTTAACCCTATTTTCAATGTCATCTTTGCTTAATCCACCCAAAGACTGGATTACAATCAGCTTGCATCCTACGTCTTTATCTTTGGTAGGAACATGTACAATCCCATTGGCATCAATGTCAAATATAACTGTAATCTGTGGGACTTCTTGGGGTACTGGAGGAATTCCAATCAAAGTGAATGGTCCAAGAAGTTTGTCTCCAGCCATCTCTCTCTCCCCCAACATACTTTAATCTCAACTTGAGTCTGCCCAACAGCAGCAGTAGAAAAATACCTGGCTCTTCTTGGTTGAAATAGTGGTGTTCTTGTTTGGTGAAGACACCTCCTGGTCTCAATACCCAGAGAGGGGAGTGACATCCAGGAGTGGCACATCTGTGACAGCACCAGCCAACACACCTCCCTGACTAGCAGCTCCAACCACCACAGCCTTATCAGGATTGACAGCTTTACTTGGGGCTTGGCCAAAAGTGTTCAGTCCTGCTGAACCTGGACTAATGTAACATAAAAGGCTAGTCCAGAGCCTTTAATTTTCTTAGGTTTATTCAGTGCATATATTTTTTCCCAAGCCTGGATATTTCAAAGGAAAAGTAAAGAAAATAAGGTCTTAACTCAAGCCTTAAACTCTGTTTAAGACTTCAAACAGGTCTGTGCTCATTCATTAGTTTTCCATGCATCTGTGAGTTCAGAATGGGTGTTGAATTTCATCAGTGGCTTTTCTCTATTGAGATATTTTATCTTACATTATACTGATATCATGTATTATAATCATTGATTTGCACATGCTGAACCATCCTTACATTCCTGGGAAAAATCCCAACTGATCATGGTGGGTCATCTTTTTCATGGGGTGTTTGAGTCAATCTGCAGGGTTTTTGTCTTGAGAATTTTTGCAACAATGTTCACTAGGTTTAGTTTTTGTCTGTATAATTTTGCAATTAATATACTAGTTTCATGAAATAATCTTGGCAATAATTTGAGAAAAATTGTTCTTTACAAGTTTAATATAATTCAGAAATGAAGTCCGATGATATTGGGCTTTTCTTTGTTGGGAGACTTTTTTTTTTTTTAACAGGCAGAGTGGACAGTGAGAGAGAGAAGTCTTCCTTTTTCTGTTGGTTCACCCTCCAATGGCCGCCGCACCGTGCTGATCCGAAGCCAGGAGCCAGGTGCTTCCTCCTGGTCTCCCATGCGGGTGCAGGGCCCAAGCACTTGGGCCATCCTCCACTGCACTCCCTGGCCACAGCAGAGAGCTGGCCTGGAAGAGGGGCAACCGGGACTAGAACCCGGTGTGCCGGCGCCGCCGGCCTGGGAGACTTTTGATGCTGTTCCAATCTCATTACTTGTTCAAATTTTCTGTCCTCAATTTCTGTTTTGATTGAACAATATTTCATTGAATCAGTACAGGTATTCAGTTCTATGTTTTTGTGTAATGCCAATAAGGTTGCTGTTGCTCATTTCTACTTCTGTTGTGGGCAGGAAAAAAATTCATAAGTATGACTTGATTTGGGGACTAATATATGGTCTATCCTAGAGGATGTTTCATAGGGTAATAATCTGTTGGACTGAATTTTCTATAAATGCCTGTTAGGTCCATTTGTATAATAGTATTGTTTAACCCTGATCTTTGATTTTCTTGTGTTTGTACAGGATCTGTCAATAAGAGTGCTGAAGTTCTCCACTATCACAATATTGGAGCCTCTTTTCATCTAATGATGGTTGCTGTATAAAACTTTTAAAATCATTATATCTTCTCACTAAATTAGTCCTTTTGAGCTTCTTTTTGGAGGTTTTGTCTTCAAGTCTGTTTTGTCTAACATGAGGAAAGCTATTCCTGCCTCACTCTGGCTTTTGTTTGCATGGGACAACTTTTTCTGTTCTTTTACTTTCAGTCAGCCCAGGCTTATGTCTTTACAGTGGAAAATCCAACAATGTGAACTTTCGTTTCATGTGCAAAATAAAAATATAACATTACCTTTAGACTAAGGTATGTGAAATATAAATGAATTTCATATTTAGATTTGCATCCCATCTCTAAGATATCACAGTATGTATAGACGATTATTGAAGAATTAGAAATCTAAAGGGCTTCAGTTCCAAGCATTTTTGGTGGTGGATATGTAACCTGTACTAATCTAGTTGTTAATAGGCCAAACATGTTGCTAATCATATACAATGCACAAGAGAGCACCCCAAGAATTATCAAGCCCACATGTCAACAGTGCAAAGCTTGAACTCCTAAATTATGAGATAGTGTAAGTTGAAATTGCATCTAGGATGTTAATACATATTTTTAGGTGAAATAGTCATTCTGCTTCCCTGGAATGAACCCAGGATTTCTAAGACATTGGGAAATGTTGCACTTTCTTCTGAATCTGTTATCTTTTGGAGAAAGCAACTTAATGCTGGCCTTTCATGACCACTTTTATCCATTCCTACCTTTCAATACATCTTATACTCTAATCACACTAATGGATAAGATCCATTTCTATTAATTCTGTTCAGAGAAATATTTTTTCTTAAAGCCTAGTGCTATGCTAATTACTCCATGAAGACTCCTTCCCACCACCACACACTCATTTTAAGTTACTTTGTTGTTTAACGTATCTGTACCTCTCTACTTACTTATGTGATTAACCCTTCCTCTAAATATAAGATCTTTTGGGTCAGGATCCATAACTGGCTCATATTTTTAACTCTCAGAGGACTCACTATGGTGCTTTACACATCATAGATGGAATAAATATACAGTGCTGCTAGAAGACTATAATCAGTTTTTCCCAGTTCTTTTTAGCCTTGTTCTGGTAATGTTATCATTTTAGTAGCTTTCCACGTTCTCATGCTTCAGCCAAGGGTATGACAGCAGCATTCTTCAAGTTCTAACAACTATTTTACAGAACACCTTTTAGTCAATTCCACTGTTTTCAAAACATTTCCCCATGAGATGGCAGCAAGTATTTGATTTCAGAGGACCTTAGTTAGGCAAAGCCCCTTTCCTATGAAGAACCAAGAAAAAATGAGGGCACAAACATAAAACAGTAAGAATTTCTACTCATTGCTCAGAAATCTCAATTGCATTTCTGATGGTCATACTGGATTTAGGACTGACATAACAAGGCTATTAATATTTTATTGCTATAGAGCTTAATGCCAAAAGAAAAGGCTGTGGTCAGCATACATATTTTAGACTAATTTGCACATCTTTCCTTTCAGTGTCCCCTTTTGTTTCCTTCAGTATAATTCTTCAGCATCAATCAATGCTTGGTGGTTGCTTCTAACAAATCTTTTGCTTCGTTTATTTTAGTAGCTAGATAAGGCGATCCTCCTAAGAGAACAAAGAAAAATAAATGGATAAAGTTAATAATGAAGTATTCTGTAAAAGTCCCCAGTGTAGATAGACTCAGAATTCTAATTTTCCCATAAATCCATCCTGTAACAAAACAGTATACATGTGTTCAATGACATACCACATGCCCAGCAATAAAAAAAAAAAAAAAAAAAAAACCTGTGAGAAAAATAATGAAAGTTATAATCACGAGTAAAACTTTGGTCACATGCTTGGTGAATGACCAGTGAAATTTTCTGAAATTAATTAAATGGATGGTTCAGTAAGCAAAATAGTCTTTAATCATGCCTTTTATTTTTTTAAGGGTTGATTACTCATCTGAAATAGGGTTAACTTTCTGATGGAGGTAAATTGACCCAAAATCTTGTCAAGCCTTATAATTGGAAAAACAAAACAAAAAACCTATTATACAGTGCTAAAAGTAGTTTTTACTAAAAATGAATAGTAAAAGTGATGTTAAAGGGAATCCTCACTGTTTTCTGAAATGATCCTATTGGAATACTCAGAGTATAATCCTGGATTCATACTACCCTAAAATACAAATTGAGTCCTTTTTAGAATTTTTTGCAATGAATTCTAAAACAAGAAAATTGAGATGAATTTCAAATGCAGAATCATAAACAGAGCCTATTTGATATGTAAAAATACTAGCTCCAAACTGTTAATTAACGCTATTTAAACATCATACCCTTTCTAACTTCTAGTCCTGAATACTGTCATTGCTTATTGGTCAGCCTAAAAATCATCTAACCGTTCACCAGTCTCTCTGTATTTGTTTTCATTTTGTATTCTTCCCTTAAGTGCAAACCATTGGCGGCAGCAGTGGAAAACATCGTATGTCCTCAGTAGCTTACAACAATCCAAAAAGCATTTAGACAGTACTGCCGTAAAGTGTCCTAACTCGGGCAATTTATTGATATCACACCACTCAGCTGATGGGGGGAACTGGATCAACGAACACGGCACTGTACTAGAAAGGGCAATGCTGGAGGAAACCACACTGAGATTTTTGCCTGAGGGTGACACCAACACTTTCATAACTGCTACAAACAAACATATAAAACTTACAAAGAAAGTTGATAAATTTTATGTATGATGTTGGGATTAGCTAACATGGGTCCTGATAAGCTGTATAAACTGAATTAACAAGGTGATACAAATCATCTCATGTTCTCAACGAATATTAAAATAGTAATTGAACTTAATCTTTGATATGCCTTCTGGATAGTTAGAAGAACTGAAACAACAAACAGCTGTACTTTCAGGTGAGTGCTGAAAGAACTAGTAAGACTCATAGGCCTGGGGTGGAAGCATAGAAGGCGCAAAAGAAAAAGGGCACTGAGATTCAGCTCCCTGGCAAAGGGGAAGGAAGCCCCCTGCAGGGAAAGGGTAAGCAGCCAAGCCCACCTCCAGGAATGCCTTTATGGGGCACTCCTAGCTCCAAGAGGAATCCAGAGTCATTACTGGTAAGGAAACCCACCTAGAGAACTTGGGTTACTTTGCCTCAGGAAAGGAACTTATACTGGACCTCCCTTCCCAATCCACCAGCACAGCTGCAGCATATGTCAACAGCTGAGAATAAAGTCACTTTAGGAATCCGTACTGCTTTAGAGGTTAGACTCCCACACAGCCCCATCTCTGTGGCCCCATAGCTGTCTCACCTCACTAACAAAAAAATGCGGGGTTTGTAAGGCTAAGATTAGTCTCAGGAGAACTGTGACTTGAAAGCTTTGCATTACAAGGAACTGGGAATGCAGGAAAGTAAAGGCATTCTGCCCCCAAGAACCCAGTAGGGGTGGTGGCCTCTCAGACTTGAGGCCAGCCCCACCATCTCACCTCCTACCACCAGATGGTGCACTGCATGCTGCCACTGGGACTCCCAGGTCCAATTCCTGCAAGTCTGGCCTACATCTCCTCAACTGCAGCAGCTCCAGGAGAATGTGTGCCTGACATCTGGCAATCACGTTGGGTACAAAGAGCATCAAAACTCCACCTCACTGGTGCTGCGGCTCACCAGGCTAATCCTCCACCTACGGCACTGGCACCCCAGTTTCTAGTCCTGGTTGCTCCTCTTCCAGCCCTGCTCTCTGCTGTGGCCCTGGAAGGCAGTGGAGGATGGCCCAAGTGCTTGGGGCCCTGCACCCGCATGGGAGACCAGGAGCAAGCAGCTGGCTTCGGATCGGCGCAGCACACCGGCCATAGCAGCCATTTGCGGGGTGAGCCAACGGCAGGAAAACTCCACCTCAACTGCCATCCGCTACAGGAAAAGATGGTGTACAGGGAGTATATGTACTGTGGCATCCACAGCCAACATAAGCCTTCCAAAAAGACACATCCTGAGAAAAACCTTTAATTCATAAGAGCTCTTCTTTAAAACTGATGGGGCAAAAGGTGTTGGGCATAGTAGTGAGGATATGGTTTGGCATGCCTGGGTTCCAGACCCAGCTGAGTTTCTGATTCCAGTTTCCTGTTGAGCCATCACTGCTGCCTTCTAGGATGTGCCTTAAGTTGGGTTCCTGCCATCCATGTGGGAACCATGGATTGAGTTCTTGTTCTCTAGATTGGGAGGGCATTTGTAGTGAATCAGTAGATGGAAGCTCATTCTGCGTCTTTCTGCCTTTCAAATAAATAAAAATTGTAAAAACTGATTCAGATGCAATATTATGACACAAAAGGAACATAAAAGTCTCCCTTTCTTTAAAGTCTGATTGCTAAAGTACTGTTAAGTTGCCTAATAGGTAATTCAAAAGTAATTATAAGACTACTAAAGATACAAGAAAACAAAGGAAATCAGAAAATGAGAAATTCAGGAAAGATAGAAGATCTTGAAAATGAAGTGTTAGAAATGAAGAACTCAATAGCAGAAGTAAGAACCTAAACTAAAAGGGTGGGAGGAATGAACACAGCCTTGAAAACTTTTAAATTTGGGAGTTCTTGAGGGGGAAGAAGAGAAAAAGCAGCATAGAAAGCCCATTCGTGGGAAAGTTGTCAGCTATTAATTCAATCTAGGAAGAAAAAAGGATATTTAAATTGAAATGAACAGAGAATTCAGAGGAAAAATAACAGGAATATACACTTGGAAAAACTGGGGCCTACGTTGTAGCTGCCTGTGATGCCAACATCCCAATATGGGCACTGGCTCTAAGCCCAGCTGCTCCATCTTGAATCTGGTTCCCTGGCTACTGTGCCTAGGAAAGGTAAGATGGACCAAGTACCAGGAGACCCTGATGAAGTTTCCTGTTGTGGTCATTTGGGGGAATGAACCAGCAGATGAAGTATGCAAATATGACTTTCAAATAAGTATACACATATATAGTCATTTAATATAGCAGTATAGTCCCACAGAATTTAAGAAGTTGGGACTTAAATAAATCTTAATGCTTACTTTCAAGTAAATTTTATTTGAAAGGGCTACACAGAAAGAGGTCTTCCACGTGCTGATTCACTCCCCAGTTGGCCGCAACGGCCAGAGCTGCGCCAATCTGAAGCCAGGAGCTTCTTCAGGGTCTCCCACACGGGTGCAGGGGGCCCAAGGACTTGGGCCATCTTCTGCTTTCCCAGGCCATAGCAGAGAGCTGGATCGGAAGTGGAGCAGCCGGGACTAGAACCAGCCATGCTCATATGGGATGCCAGCACTACAGGTGGCGGCTTTACCCACTATGCCACAGTACCAGCACACCAGAGACAAAAGAAAACAGCAAGTCTATCAGTATTTCTCAGAGTATGTTAACTGAACATAATACAATAAAGCTAGAAATCACTAACAAGCACATACAGGGTATCCCAATGTTGACTTCTAAAACAACTCACACACTAAGGAAAAGTATCATAGCAGAAATTGTTCAAGAGGGAAAAACCAAAGGTTAGTCTCTATCATACTGAAAATGATACAAGAACAGAAAATGTAAAAACTCACATCCATTTGAGAAATTGAGTCTGTAAGTCTGTAATTAACACCATTCTCAAAAATCCTTGTCAGGATTTTCAGTAATTTTTCTTCCCCAAAAATAGGTGACATGGATAATACTTTTCAACTTCTTTTATAAGGCTAACATATCCTTGATAACAAGTCATGATGAAGTGATCACAATAAAACATCAGTTTTAACATGAGAACAAATGCAGAAAATCAGTATCATGACCAAGTTTCCTTCTAAGTTATCAAAAATGTAATAGGTTACAATTAGCAAAATGTTGAAACTTTTGGCTCTGAGATCAGTGACAAGAAAAAAATACCTACTATCACTGTTTAACAGGATATCAGAGGCCCCTACTCCCTGAGCATAAAATAAGGAATGGGAACAAAGTGTCATTCTTCATAAATTTTAATATGGAGTATGTAGACAATCCAAAAGGACCTGAAAAATCATATTTTTTTTTTTATATTTTTTAAAGATTTACTTATTTTTTTTTAACTTGAAAAATCATATTTTTAAAAAATCGGTCTTACTCCTAGCAATCAATAACTATGACTTAATTTATAATAGCATTTGAAAAATTAATACACTGGAATAAAATTATGTATCACCCAGAAATATGTAAAACTGTTGGAATTAAGATGACCTAAATAAATATCATTAAGATGTTAATTCTCCCAAGTAGATTGATAGATGCATGGTTATTCCTATCATAACCGAATGAGATGTGTGTATAAATGTGTATGTTGTGTGTGCATAACGATAAGAAATCTTAATTTATACTGACAAGCAAAGGGCCAACAATAGCCCTCCCATGAAGATACACAAATTAATATGTAAAATGTGGCAATGGCACAAGCATAAAGAAATTAGGCAATGGAAGAAGAGAAACAGTCCCATAAATATCTGGTTATTTATAACAAAGGTAACATGGCAGATCACTAGGGAAAGAATGCCCTTTTTAAAAGTGCTTGACTACTTGGATATTCAAATAACTACAATGGAAGCTTTATCCCTACCTCACATCACAGTTAAAAGGTTCAGGAAATTCATGACCTTGATA